GTTGCATTAGCATTTAGTGGCGTTTTCCCGCGTTTAGCTGCGTTTTCTCACGTTTTTCCTCATTTACTTTTTTTTACCAAAACAAAATGCCAGTTTGCCAGCATTTTACCACATTTTACAGCGTTTTACCACGTTTTGCTGTTTTTCAGCATTAGAGAGTTTTTATAGCTAAAAAACTCATCTAGAATCCCACTAGTCTTGGGATTTTTTCCAGCAAAAAAAAACGCAGCTGCCAAAAAACAGTCTACAGTTGTGTCCAAAATTATTCAACCCCCACTGAAATTGAGTGTTTTGGCCAGTTTGACATTGCTTTTGATCATTCAGTCATCTTGCTTACATTTACATTAAAGAGGCACTTGTAGGTCAGACAAATATAACATAACAGTTATAATGAAATAACCACAAATGTCTTTTCTGTGCTCACAGCATTATCAGTTTTATTCAACCCCCAAGTGACATTCAATCTTAGTACTTAGTACAGCATCCTTTTACAGTTATAACAGCTTTTAAACGTGAAGCATAGCTTGACACAAGTGTCTTGCAGCGATCTACGGGTATCTTCGCCCATTCTTCATGGGCAAAGGCCTCCAGTTCAGTCACATTCTTAGGCTTGCGCACTGCAACTGCTTTCTTTAAGTCCCACCAGAGGTTCTCAATCGGATTTAAGTCTGGTGACTGCGATGGCCACTCCAAAATGTTCCAGCCTTTCCTCTGCAACCATGCTCTAGTGGACTTGGAGGTATGCTTGGGATCATTGTCCTGTTGAAAGGTCCAACGTCTCCCAAGCCTCAGGTGTGTGACGGACTGCATCACGTTTCCATCCAATATCTCCTGGTACTGAAGAGAATTCATGGTACCTTGCACACGCTGAAGCTTCCCTGTACCTGCAGAAGCAAAACAGCCCCAAAGCATGATTGACCCTCCACCATGCTTCACAGTAGGCAAGGTGTTCTTTTCATCATAGGCCTTGTTCTTCCTCCTCCAAACATAGCGTTGATCCATGGGCCCAAACAGTTCTAATTTTGTTTCATCAGTCCACAGAACACTATCCCACAACTTTTGTGGTTTGTCCACATGGCTTTTGGCATACTGCAGTCGACTCTTCTTATTCTTTGGAGACAGCAAGGGGGTACGCCTGGGAGTTCTGGCACGGAGGCCTTCATTACGCAGTGTGCGTCTTATTGTCTGGGCTGAAACTTCTGTACCCACATCTGACAAATCTTTTCTCAGTTCCTCAGCAGTCACACGGGGACTTCTCTCCACTCTACGCTTCAGGTAGCGCACAGCAGTCGAAGTCAGCATCTTCTTTCTGCCACGACCAGGTAGCGTTTCAACAGTGCCCTTTGCCTTGAATTTGCGAATGATGCTTCCTAAGGTGTCTCTTGGTATGTTTAACATCTTTGCAATCTTCTTATAGCCATTGCCCTTCCTGTGAAGAGAAATCACCTCTTCTCTTGTCTTCCTGGACCATTCTCTTGCCTTCACCATGTTTGTAACCACACCAGTAAATGTCTAGAAGGAGCTGAGTATCACAGTCATTTTAAAGCTGCCTAATTGGTGCTTATTATGCTTGATTGCTGCTCGGTGACATCCACAGGTGTTTTCAATACCTGATGGAAAGCACCTGTATGAACCTCTGTTCTTCAGAGTGGTAGTCTTTAAGGGGTTGAATAATTGTGGCAATGAAGAAACCACATAAGAACCATTTACTACTGTATTACATAAACAATTGATGTCATTTTAGTTGCATTTGGGTAGTTACAACGTCCTTGTAGGATTTGATTCTGAATACAATTCCAAATGTACACTATAGTCCCTAAACCCCTTTACAGCATTGGGGGTTGAATAATTTTGGACACAACTGTATGTGTGCACGGACATGTAGGATAACATGCTGGAGAGTTTACTGGCTGTAGAAAAAAAAAGTCAAAAGCCAAAAACAGCCGCTGTAAAAATGTCCCGCATGCTTGAGGACTAATGAAGGCCTTAGATGGATCGAAAACTGGCCTTTTTTTTATAAAAAAAAAAACGAAAAATCAGTCGTTTGATTGGCCGACATTACCACCAACGGTAAAAAAATCGGTCTATTTTTGTCCCGTCTACGGCCGGCATTTAATTACTTCTGTCCCTGCAGAGAGCTCCGCTATTATATTTTATATGAAAAGTCTTGCGGTTGCAACAATGTATCCATTTGTATCCATTTCGGATACAGATGGTTTTATTCGGATACAAATGGATACATTGTTGCAACCGCAAGACTTTTCATATAAAAATATAATAGCGGACTGGAATTCTTCTTCTTCCTCTTCTTTTTCTTCTGCTTCTTCGTCTTCTTTTCCTTCTTCTTTTTCTTCTTCTTCTTTTCCTTCTTCTTTCTTCTTCTTTTCCTTCTTCTTTTTCTTCTTCTGCTTCCTCTTCTTCTTCTTCTTTTTTCTTCTTCTTCTTCTTATTTTCCTCTTATTATTATTTTTCTTCTTCTTCTTCTTTTTCTTCTTCTTGCAGGTCACGGCTCATGCGCAGATTTTTTATCGGTAAAACGATTGGCCGATTTGCCCATCATTGCCGGGAAAATTGTCCGATCGTCCAAATCGGCCACGGATTTTCAAACTTTACCGATAAAAAAAATGTGCCAAAACCCCAAAAAATGGCCAACCAATTAACCCACTAACAGTGCGAAAATAGGCCGATTTTCGACCCATCTATGGCCTGCATAAATCTCAGTACCACTTGCTGTTCCCTTGTAATTAAGGAATTAAACTCCAAGTTTGCACAAGACTTCCATTGCCTTTGAGCTGTTTGGATTGGTAGAAAAAAAAGCGGAAATGAGAGCTTGTTTTATAGAACATACAGGAAGAGATTAAAATAAGTCGTATCGTCTTTTTTATGTCCTGAGGCTACATGGCAGAGAGAGAGAGAGAATTCCTCTTAGACGATTGTTATTATAATCGATTGTGATAAGCAGGACACGTTGTGCTTAATTAGGAGTTTAGCAGATTGGTAATGCAGCTGGAGAAATGTTTAGACTCAAAGAGCAACGTCAGGTAAGGAGTAAATCAACCCACAGAATTTCATTTGACAACATTTTATTCACCAAAATGACATCATTGACTTATACAGAAGTAGCAAGTGTGTAAAAATAATTACAAATTGTAGAGTAGTATATACTGTATTACGATAGGTTCTCAATTACATTGCCTTGAAAAAGTCTTCCTCCCCATTGACATTTTCCACATTTTGCCATGTTACAACCAAAAACGTAAACGTCTTTTATTGGGATTTTATTATTATTATTATTATTATTATTATTATTATTATACAGGATTTATATATTATTATTATTATACAGGATTTATATATTATTATTATTATACAGGATTTATATATTATTATTATTATACAGGATTTATGGCGCCAACAGTTTGCTCAGCACTTTAAAATATAACGGGAGACAATACAGCAACAATACTGTTCAATACAAAAGGGAAAGGAGGGCCTGATCCTGGGAGCTTACAATCTAGGATAGTTGCATAGTAATGTAGGCCATAGACGGGTCGAAAACCAGCCATCTTTTAACAAAAATGAAAAAGTCCAAACATTTTGAAAAAAAAAAGTGTTTTTCTTATAACATTTTGCAAATAAGTAATCGCTCTTCACAAATCTTGGCCAAAATCTATTCATCTATCTTTTTAGTAAAAAAAAAAATAACTCAAATTAGTTTACAACCAAAATTTATATTTTTTTAAATTTTTATTTTACATTTTTATTTTTATTTTTATATTATTATTTATGGGTTTTTTTTTAAACATACCATCACCCTAGCAGTACAGTGTCACCATAGTGAACACTGTACTACTTCTGGGGGGTGATGAAGATTTTTTTTTTTTGCACTGATTGCTTTTACACCCATAAAGGCTTTAAAAGCAATAATTTCTCCTCTCTGGCTGCATTCTTGCAGCCATTGAGAAATACTGTGAGAGCTGTGATTGGTCACATGGTACAAGGTTGTTGTGAATAGCCCTGTACCATGTGATCTTTGTAACAGGGGCGGACTGACAACTCATGGGGCCCCCCGGGCAATAGGGGATTATTGGGCCCCTGTGTCCTTGCCCAAACTAAAAAAAGCCTATGAAAAAGGTACCAAGGGCATCTCATGGAGCCCCCTACTGACCCCGGGCCCTCGGGCACTGCCCAAGTTTCCAAATGGTCAGTCCGCCCCTGCTCTGTGATCATTCACAGATTTCACAAGTAGTAAGCAATGATGTCAGAAGTGATATCTTGTTTACTACTGTTCATGTGATCACTGATTGGCCAATCAGTGATCACATGAATCAGGACCTCACATAGAGGTCCTGTACAGGGATCGTGGTGCCCAGGGAGTGCGCACAGGCAATGAATGTGGGGGCCGTTTATAAATGGCTCCTGCACTGCTCCCGTCAGGAAGTGGTTACATTTTTTTACAAATAAATATCTGAAAAGTGTGGCGGCATTTGTATTCAGCCCTCCGGAGTCACTTTATAGGACCCCCTTTCGCTGCAAGTCTTTTTGGGGATGTCTCTACCAGCTTTGCACATCTAGAGAGGGACATTTCTGCCCATTCTTCTTTGCAGAATCGCTCAGTTCTCTCAGATTGGATGGAGAGCATCTGGAAACAGCAATTTTCAAGTCTTGCCACAGATTCTCCATTGGATTTGGGTCTGGACTGTGACTGGCCCATTCTAACACATTAATTTGCTTTGATCTAAAACATTCCATTGTAGCTCTAGCTGTCATGTTCCTTCCACTTCACAATTATGTGCCACTTTGTGTTGGTCTATCACATAAAATCCCAATAAAACACATTTACGTTTTTGGTTGTAACATGACAAAATGTGGAAAATTCCAAGGGGTATGAGTAAGTTTTCAAGGCACTGTATAGATCCAACTATGTGATCTTACAGATAAATAGAGGGACGCTGTCAGGAATCAGTGTCCCTGCCACGACACTGATGCATTCTAATCAGTGGGCAGCGGGACCCGGGCGATCGCGATGGCCACGCATGCGCACTCGCGATCGCGGACGTGCGCCTGGCACCAATGACAGTGCAGGGCAGGCTATTTAAACGGGAATAGAGGTATGTCAAATTGCCGTTTGGTCTTTTGTGCTCTGTTCCTGATACCTGATCCTGTGTTACTCCGTTGCCGACCTCTGCTTTGTACCTGACCCTGCTGATTGTATCCTGCCTGACCTTGGCTTGCCTGACCATCCTTCTGCCTGACTCCTTTGTACCACGCTGTCCGCTAGTTACTGAACCCGGCTTGTGACCTCGACCATTCTCTGCCTTCTCCTCCGGTACCTCGCTGCCCGCACGTTGCTGACCTGGCCCGCCTGACTACGCTTCCAGCCACCCAGACGATCCATCCACCCATCCCGCAGGGATCGTTCCTGGTTACCAGGTCTGCCAGCCTCTTCAAAGCAGACTCCTTACCCCGTACTCCTCTGACGGCGCTCTCTACCATTGTCGGACAATACTCAGGGGCCGCGACCTGGTCTCAGTCTGCTCCAAGTCCATCCCCACCATCAGGGGCTCTGGTGAATAAGCAGATTGGGACTTAGACCCCGCGCCCTGAGGAAATCCGTGCTGTGGACCGATAGAGACGCCGCCAGGCAGATCGTGACAGACGCGAAGGTCTTGGTTTTCTACAAGGTGCCGCTAACGGGTCCCAATAACGGTTATTAGAAATGAGCCAATTATTCAGTTGGTTTGGACTGACCGTTGGCTCTTCGGCCCCCTGTTCAGAAGGAGCCGAGCATCATTTCCACCACTGTATACAAGATTGTTTTTCTATTGTCTTTCATTCATGTAGGGAGGAGCAGTATATGGGGACCCCCTAGTTATTAAACAAGTCCCCCACCCACAGATCCCCACAACCACATGTCAGGGTTGTGGGGAAGGAGAAGTTGTCATCAACAACATAGGTACCCCTGATTTGGAGGACATGTTGTCTGCTTTGTCTCATCCTTACCTCTTTTAGTCTCCATGCGTCCATCCATGTTAAAGGGGGCTTCCAGATTCTGTTATACTCCCCGCTCACAGACCCCCACAACTCCCGCCCAGGGTTGTGGGGAAGAGGCGTTTGTTCCCATCAGCATGGAGACAAAGTGCTTTGGGGAGAGCCCCCCCCACCCCAAAGCACCCCCCATATTGAGGGCATGTGGCCTGGTATGGTATAGCCCCCCCTTTTCTGGCCTGCCAGGCTGCATGCTCGGATAAAGGTCTGGTATGGATTTTGTTGTATATCCCAAGTCATTTTTTTTTTCAAATTTTGGTGTGGCATTCCTCTCAAAATCCATAGTAGACTCAAGGGTCTGGTATGGATTTTGGGGATACCCCATGCCTTTTTGTCTATATATCTGGTGTGAGGTTCCACTTAAAATCCCTGCAAAACCAGAAGGGCCTGGTATGGATTGGGGGGCCCCCCACAAGGTTTTTTTTTAAATGTTGGAATTCTTTTGTTTTCATTTAGCTGTCAGTGGAAAATCCTGCTGACATACATTTTTTATACTTTACTATATATCTCTCCTCCATTCATAGAGAGAAAACACAGGGGCGGGCTTCACAGTGACTGATTACTGTGAGAGTCAATCAGAGGCTATCACAGCGATCAGGTGACCTGGAATTGGAAGTTCTGGGTCCAGATCATTACCACAGGACCCTGGGCTCTCAGTGAGAACCTGGTCTCTGTACTGGGAGCGCACCGCATGGCAAGCTCCCAGCACAAAGAGAATTATGAGAGAGAGTTATGCAAATATGCGACCCTACAGAAAAAAAACCCAGTGCAGTGGGTCTTCATATTTGTATACCATCGGTATGAAGGGGTTAACCTCTTTCTGCCCATTTGACGCCTATGCGCAGTGACAAAGGGGTCCATGGGTAGCCAAAATTTTGAGCTGGGGAGCACGTTTAGGCCCCTATCACATGTCCATTCTGATCAGGTCCACCTGTCAATTTTCCAGATGAACCTGACTGGAAGGTCAATTCATCCCTATAGACAGACAAGTCCATTTACACCCACCTACCTCTGGGTCCGATTGGGTCAGCTACAAAAAAATGGAAGGGGATCTGTCCTCTTCCGTTTAGGTGGAGCAGATCAGAGGTTAGTTGGGTGCAGGGGTGGACTGACCATTTAGCCACTCAGGCACTGCCCGAGGGCCCGGGGTCAGTAGGGGCCCCATGAGATGCCCCTGGTACCTTTCATATGTTTTTTTGGGTGTGGTTTGAGTGCGGACGAAGACACAGGGGCCCCATGATTTCCTATTGCCGTGGGCCCCATGAGTTGTCAGCCCGCCCCTGGTTGGGTGTAATGGACAGCAGAGTCTGTTTACTCCCGGCCGCCTATAGAGCAGAGCGGACTTTGTCCGTGTTCGCTCTGCACAAGCTGATTTGTCATCCGCCCACTCTGCTCTGATCAGTAGAGGACTTGTGAGCTGATCCCATGCTGATTGGAACAGAATCAACCCCATGTGAAAGGGATCTTACTGCGTGCTCTCTGCACAGTGACTCAGCTGTCATAGACAACTCCCGGTTTCTAGTAATGATCGGGAGCCAATAGGACTGGCTCCTGATCATGAGACCACTGTGACAGCCAATCACAACTGCCATCCTGTCATAAATACCCTGCTAAAGGAACACTGAGGCTGGGTGGGAAGGAGTTAAAAAAAAAACATCCTATAATACATCAGGAAGATAAAACTTGACACCCACATACAATACGCTATGAAATCAACATCAGGAAACCAGTGTCAGGATATCTGTGCTGAATGCAACCGATCCATCTCCTGGTATGCTCCGCTTTATGAGTCAATTTAAATGCAAAACTTTTCTTGTTTGACCAGAATGTGACTTTAAAATGCGAAAGTTCAACTACCGCATGCAGCATATTGATAGATGTAGAATTTAAGACATGATTCTTATCGTTCCTATATGTTATGGCAGGTTCCTAAAATTGTAAGCCCCAGGACCCAAATAACCTTTTATTACCATGCACTAGAAATACTATAGATTGAATGGATGACATAAAGAAAGCGAAAAGTTTACATACGTGTACTCCTGTAGGACATTTTCCTAAACCTTTTAATGACTGACAGCTGAAATTGATGGGAACAAAGGATATTCTGGATATATGTCAGATATTTATGGAAATAAGCTGTCATCTTCTGAAAAATTACCCTTAGGAAGAAAAAAGAAGACAGATGTTACAGAGTTTGACTACTTAATAAATATAAAATGGTATCAAATGTTTACATTTAATCATATTATATTTGAAATATGGCATTTCCATATTTGTCCAACAAATGTGTTTTTTTTTATGCAGTCTGTATCAGCGTTAGCTGAGGTTTTCCATGCTACAGGGAAAAGTCTACACATGTGCCTACCTATGGTCTATAGCAGCCTTTCTCAACCTTTTTACCCAAGAGGAAATCATGAAATCTAATATAAATATATGCTATAATACATTTTAACTACCATCTAGAATTTAGAAGCTGTGAGTCCTCTATTCAAATGCTAATTAACTTGTTTAACTGGTTTATAAAGGCTAGTTAAACTGGAAATGATGTCAGAAGGAAATTGGATTGGAGATAAGAAATGAGATAACACAGTCATGCGCTGAACACAGGGTGGGGAGTATGGAAAAGGACTTGGATAGAAGGAGGGCTCCATAACATTGAGAAGACCTAATAGAACGAGAGGGACTGCATAGCACCAAGGAAGGTATGTGCCAGAAAGGGGCTCCATAAAACAAAGGAAGTTTTGTGCCAGAAAGGGTCTCCATAACACCAAGGAAAGTCTGTGCCAGAAAGGGGCTCTATAGCACCAAGGAAGGTCTGTGCCAGAAAGGGGCTCCATAACACCAAGGAAAGTCTGTGCCAAAAGGGGCTCCATAGCACCAAGGAAGGTCTGTGCTAGAAAGGGTCTCCATAACACCAAGGAAAGTCTGTGCCAGAAAGGGGCTCTACAGCACCAATGAAGGTCTGTACCAGAAAGGGGCTCCATAACACAAAGGAAGGTCTGTGCCAGAAAGGGGCTCCATAACACAAAGGAAGGTCTGTACTAGAAGGGGCTCCATAACATCTAGGACAGTCTGTGCCAGAAGGGGCTCCATAACACCAAGGGAGGTTTGTGCCAGAAAAGGCCTTCATAATACTAAGGAAGGTCTGTGCCAGAAAGGGGCTCCATAACACCAAGGAAAGTCTGTGTCAGAAAGGAGCTCTACAGCACTAAGGAAAGTCTGTGCCAGAAAGGGGCTCTACAGCACCAAGGAAGGTCTGTACTAGAAGGGGCTCCATAACACCAAAGCAGGTCTGTACTAGAAGATGCTCCATAACATCTAGGACAATCTGTGACAGAAGGGGCTCCATAACATCTAGGACAATCTGTGACAGAAGGGGCTCCATAACACCAAGGAAGGTTTGTGCCAGAAAAAGCCTTCATAATACTAAGGAAGGTCTGTGCCAGAAAGGGGCTCCATAGCACCAAGCAAGGTCTGTGCCAGAAGGGGATCCATAACACTGTCCTAGAAGTTATGGAGCCCCTTTCTGGCACAGACCTTCCTTGGTACTATGCAGTCCCTCTCATTCTATCCAGGTCTCCTCAATGTTATGGAGCCCTCCTTCTATCCAAGTCCTTTTCTAGACTCCCCACCCTGTGTTCAGCACATGGTTGTGTTATCTCATTTCGTATCTCCAATCCCATTTCCTTCTGACATCATTTCCAGTTTAACTAGCCTTTATAAACCAGTTAAACAAGTTCATTAGCTTTGAATAGAGGACTCACAGCTTCCAAATTCTAGATGGTAGTTAAAATGTATTATAGCATATACAGTCATGGCCGAAATTGTTGGCACCCTTGATATTTTTCCTGAAAATCAAGTATTTCACACAAAAAAGGTATTGCATTAACACATGTTTTGCTATACACATGTTTATTCCCTTTGTATGTATTGGAACAAATATAAAACAGAGGCAGAAAAGCAAATATGACATAATGTCACACAAAACCCCAAAAATGGGCTGGACAAAAGTATTGGCACCCTTAACTTAATATTTGGTTGCACACCCTTTGGAAAACATAACTGAAATCAGTCGCTTCCTATAACCATCAATAAGCTTCTGACACCTCTCACCCGGAATTTTGGACCACTCTTCCTTTGCAAACAGCTCCAGGTCTCTCTTATTGGAAGGACACCTTTTCCCAACAGCAATTTTAAGATCTCTCCACAGGTGTTCAATGGGATTTAGATCTGGGCTCATTGCTGGCCACTTCAGAACTCTCCAGCGCTTCTTTGCCATCCATTTCTGAGTGCTTTTTGACGTATGTTTGGGGTCATTGTCCTGCTGGAAGACCCAGGATCTTGGACGCAAACCCAGCTTTCTGACACTGGGCCCTACAGTGCGACCCAAAATCCTTTGGTAATCCTCAGATTTCATGATGCCTTGCACACAGTCAAGGCACCCAGTGCCAGAGGCAGCAAAACAACCCCAAAACATCATTGAACCTCCACCATATTTTACCGTAGGTACTGTGTTTTGTTCTTTGTAGGCCTCATTCCGTTTTCGGTAAACAGTAGAATGATGTGCTTTACCGAAAAGCTCTATCTTGGTCTCATCTGTCCACAAGACGTTTTCCCAGAAGGCTTTTGGCTTACTCAAGTACATTTTGGCAAACTGTAGTCTTGCTTTTTTATGTCTCTGTGTCAGCAGTGGGGTCCTCCTGGGTCTCCTGCCATAGCGTTTCATTTCATTTAAATGTCGACGGATAGTTCGCGCTGACACTGATGCTCCCTGAGCCTGCAGGACAGCTTGAATGTCTTTGGAACATGTTTGGGGCTGCTTATCCACCATCCGGACTATTCTGCGTTGCAATCTTTCATCAATTTTCCTCATCCGTCCACGACCAGGGAGATTAGCTACAGTGCCATGGGTTGCAAACTTCTTGATAATGTTGCGCACTGTGGACAAAGGCAAATCTAGTTCTCTGGAGATGGACTTGTAACCTTGAGATTGTTGATATTTTGCCACAATTTTGGTTCTCAGGTCCTCAGACAGTTCTCGTCTCCTCTTTCTGTTGTCCATGCTTAGTGTGGCACAGACAGACACACAATGCAAAGGTTAAGTGAACGTCTCTCCTTTTTATCTGCTTTCAGGTGTGATTTCTATATTGCCCACACCTGTTACTTGCCCCAGGTGAGTTTACAGGAGCATCACATGCTTGTAACATTCTTATTTATCCGCAGTTGTGAAAGGGTGCCAATACTTTTGTCCAGCCCATTTTTGGAGGTTTGTGTGACATTATGTCGAATTTGCTTTCTTTCCTCCCTTTTTTTGTTTTGTCCCAATACACACAAAGGGAATAAACATGTGTATAGCAAAACATGTGTTAATGCAATACGTTTCGTGAGAAATACATGATTTCCTGGAGAAATATCAAGGGTGCCAACAATTTCGGCCATGACTGTATTTATATTAGATTTCATGATTTCCTCTTGGGTAAAAAGGTTGAGAAAGGCTGCTATAGACCATAGGTAGCCACATGTGTAGACTTTGTCCCTCTAGCATAAAAAACCTCAGCATTTACACCATTATTCTGGCATATTACAGTATTCACTCAGCACCCCAAGAAATAACAGACTCCAACTGCAGTATTCTTGCACTGTCAAAACCTCCACTTTTATTATCACATGACACACAGGAGTATATGTCTTATAGTCATCACAATCTGCATCATAACACACACCAATAATAATGTGAGCATTACAGCATGAAATAGACACATCTTTTCACAGCATAGAATTAATACATTACCAAAGCTACGGGAAGACAGGAAGGAACAGACCCATCAGAACCATAATGCACAGGGGGGGGCCGCGGAGAAGCCTTATACACGGCCATTTCGATGAGCTCATATAGCCTTGGCAAGAATCCTAACATCAGAGTGTCCCCTTTCACATAGCCTGTCAAATTCTTCTGGCACTTTCTCGAAATGGCCCACCGCAGGAGGAGTTAGCAGAAAGGTTCCGTTAGTCACACCCCGCCACTTTACTGGCAAACAAGGTCTTATCTTGCAATATCACACTTTTGCCACAAATCAGCTTCTTATCTACCCTTAACTTAAAGATTTCTAACTTCTCAAACAAGTTAACATTTTTAAATGCACAAACAAGTTCTTATCTAATTTAAGCAGTCTAATGTAACATTTCTAGATGTCACAAACACGTTCAATCTCACAAACACTTCTTATCTGCTTTAAGCAGCCTAATGTCATGTGACTCTGTTCCTTTAGCCTAGAGAAATGATATGAATGTCATTTCTCGTGCTTCTAACATATGGGCAACAATGCTTTATTGTAAAAATTCCCCAAGAAACAAAGGGTCCAAGGCCAAAACATTTCATAGACATTACAACCACCCACTGTCAGGAATGGATTCACCACTGGTGGTGGGACTCACCTGCCGTGTGGGCTGCAGTACCAGGGCTGGTGCTCTCAGCAACCAGAAGCTCACTCCTGCAATCAGCCATCACCTGAGGCTGATTGCAGGAGGTGTATTTAAGGAATGGCCAGACCTGCAGTCAGTGCCTTGGTGTATTGTTTCCCATGAGCCCCTGTACTTGGTATCCTGTGTTCCTGCCTAGTTGCTGACCCTGCTTTGATCCTGACCTCTGCTGACCGTCTCCTGTTTAACCCCTGGCTTGCCTGACCATCCTTCTGCCTGATCCTCTGTACCGCGCTGCCCGTGAGTTACTGAACCCGGCTTGTGACCCTGACTATTCTCTGCCTGCTCCTCCGGCACCTCACTGCCCGCACGTTGCTGACCTGGCCTGCCTGACTACTCCTGACGCTACCCAGACGATCCATCCATCCCGCACAGATCTGTCCCTGTTACCAGGTCTGCCAGCCTCTTCACGTCAGGCTCCTTTCCCCGCACACCTCTGACGACGCTCTTCTTTACCAATGCCGGACATACTCAGGGGTCGCGACCTGGTCTCAGTCTGCTCCAAGTCCATCCCCACCATCAGGGGCCCTGGTGAATAAGCAGATTGGAACTTAGACCCCGCGCCCTGTACAGTACCTAATGGCCTGCCTGACCATTCCACCTCTCCAGCCCTGACTATGCCTGTGTTCCCACACATTTCTGGTCATACCCGGATCCCTAACACCCACCCATCCCATGTCAGCAGTTAGGAGCACAGAGCAGGACAGAACTCCTCCTCCAGACCCTGCGCTTCATGCTGTGGAGAGGCTTGTCTCTGCCCCACCCACCCATCCCATGTCAGCAGCACAGAGAAGGACAGAACTCCTCTTCCAGATCCTGCGCTTCTTCATGCAGCTGTGGAGAGGCTTGTCTCTGGCCCACCCACCCATCTTGTGTCAGCAGTCAGCAACACAGAGAAGGACAGAACTCCTCCTCCAGATCCTGCTCTTCTTCATGCAGCTGTGGAGAGGCTTGTCTCTGCCCCACCCACCCATCCCATGTCAGCAGTCAGCAGGACAGAGAAGGACAGAACTCCTCCTCCAGACCCTGCACTTCTTCATACAGCTGTGGAGATGCTTATCTCTGGCCCACCCACCCATCCCTTGTCAGCAGTCAGCAACACATTGAAGGGCAGAACTTCTCCTCCAGATCCTGCGCTTCTTCATACTGTGGAGAGGCTTGTTTCTGCCCCACTCACCCATCCCGTGTCAGCAGCACAGTGAAGGACAGAACTCCTCCCACAGATCCTGTGCCTCTCTGTGCAGCTGCAGCACCTCTTTATATCTGCCTCCCCTGGTCTCAGCATTCAGCTGACTCCAGCCCTCCTCTGGTCCTCCTCCAGACCCTGCACTTTCTGCTTCCCAGCTCCTCCCCTCTCAGCAGCACAAAGTAAGGGGGTGCACTGTGATCCTGGGGTGAAGGATTCTTGACTTCTAAAGGTGTGGGGGGGGGGATTCTTGACATGTGATGTAAGGGAGGGGGGAGATCGGATGCTCTGGACATCTAGTCTCAACCAGCCTTTTGAGGACAACCATAATGCTGATGTGGCCAGCAACGAAATTGACTTCGACGGCCCTGACCTAGATAACATGAAGAGATGTCTGTATACGTTTTTTTTTTTTTTTTTTGTGAGTCGTGAATACCCAACTCTATAAAAAAAATGAATGAATGCGGAAGACTTCGATTCCATTTGTACAATTTCGCTCACCTTTCCGCTATTGAAAAGTCACCACCGTTTATTTATTTATTTATTTTTAAAGCCGTGACTCTTTGTTCCTTAAAGCATCACAATATTTTTTTTTTACAGTGTTATTATTTCCCTTTATGCATTCCTGCGAGATTCATTTGAAACACTTGAGCCGCTATCGGTGAGTAATTCGCCCTTTTTTTTTTAGTTTTGTACAAAATCAATTTTTGACGGAACGCGCGGGGGGAGAGAAAAAAAAAGTCACAGGTGAACTTTTGTTCATCACTCCCGGAGCTGAAATGATAAATAATAATAAAGTGGGAAAGCGACTCTTTCAATTGTCCATAAAGACAAAAGTACGTGTTTTTTATTATTTTTTTATTTTTATTTTTTTTTAATTTCTTATTTCCCAGTGCAAAATAAGTGCTTTAATAAAACATACGAGCAGAACTTCCAGCGGCTATGAAAACTGCCAATAGCGCTTGCTGTGCTTTACTGGGATCTGGAACAAGACCGCAGCACCGAGCACGAGCAACGTACAAAATAAATACTGTACTACAACAATAAGGCAGTCTCATCCGCAAAAATAATGAAAACTGAATTTTTTCTTTTTTTTTTTTTAAAAGCCGTGACTCTTCGTTCCTTAAAGCATCGCCATATTTTTCTTACAGTGTTATTATTTCCCTTTATGCATTCCTGTGAGATTCGAAACATTTGAGCCGCTACCGGTGAGTAATGCGCCTTTTTTTTAGTTTTGTACAAAATCAATTGTTGACGGAACGCGCGGGGGGAGAGACAAAAAAAAGTCACAGGTGAACTTTTGTTCATCACTCCCGGAGCTGAAATGATAAATAATAATAAAGTGGGAAAGCGCCTCTTTTGATTGTCCATAAAGACAAAAGTACGCGTTTTTTTTTTTTTTATTTATTTATTTTTATTTTTTTTTCCCAGTGCAAAATAAGTGCTTTAATAAATAAAACGTGCAGAACTTCCAGCGGCTATGAAAACTGCCAATAGCACTTGCTGTGCTTTACTGGAATCTGGAACAAGACCGCAGCACCGAGCACGAGCAACGTACAAAATAAATATTGTACTACAACAATAAGGCAGTCTCATCCGCAAAAATAATGAAAACAGAATTTTATTTTTTATTTTTTTTATTTTTTTCCTATGCAGCTGCCTGTAGGGGTAAGCGAACAATAAAAATAGATTTAATAATTATCTTTTAGTGTCGGTACACATTCACTACACACTCAAAATGATAACAAAAGAAAAAAAAACTTAAAGGGAATTTTGTTAGAAATAAATGTAATAAATGTTATTTGTTTATGAAAGATGGCTCAGAAACCTTTTAATACTTTCTTTTTTTTTTTTTCGTTCTGTGGCGGAATGCGTGGTGCTAGACAGAAGCATGTACTTTGTATTATGCCGATATAATGCACCCTCTGCTGTGAATTTCTTTCACGCTAACTGTTATTAAACTCCCAACAAAACCTACCAGACTTTTACTTTAAATACCTTTTGTTGTTAAAAAATTTGCTGTTGAAAACTAAAAACTTTGGAGACATTTCAAAACTTCTCTTAAAGTTGTGCTGAAAGGATAAATGTATGTTTTTGTCTAAGGCAGGAGGTATCCAAAAAGCGGCCCAGGGGCCGGATGTGTGGCCCCTTTACTTGCTTTTATCTGGCCCTTTTATCTGGCCCTTGGGGCCCTATTGCTCCCACTGACACCAATGATGGGACACTATTCCCCCCACTGACACCAATGATGGGGCACTATTCCCCACTGATACCAATGATGGGGCACTATTCCTCCCACTGATACCAATGATGGGGCACTATTCTTCCCACTGACACCAATGATGGGACACTATTCCTCCCACTGACACCAATGATGGGGCACTATTCCTCCCACTGACACCAATGATGGGGCACTATTCCTCCCACTGACACCAATGATGGGGCACTCTTCCTCCCACTGACACCAATGATGGGGCACTATTCCTCCCACTGATACCAATGATGGGGCACTATTCCTCCCACTGACACCAATGATGGGGCCCTATTGCTCCCACTGACACCAATGATGGGACACTATTCCTCCCACTGACACCAATGATGGGGCACTATTCCTCCCACTGATACCAATGATGGGGGCACTATTCCTCCCACTGACACCAATGATGGGGCACTATTCCTCCCACTGATACCAATGATGGGGCACTATTCCTCCCACTGATACCAATGAGGGACACTATTCCTCCCACTGACACCAATGATGGGGCACTATTCCTCCCACTGATACCAATGATGGGGCACTATTCCCCCCACTGACACCAATGATGGGGCACTATTCCTCCCACTGATACCAATGAGGGACACTATTCCTCCCACTGATACCAATGATGGGGCACTATTCCTCCCACTGATACCAATGATGGGGCACTATTCCTCCCACTGATACCAATGATGGGGCACTATTCCTCCCACTGACACCAATGATGGGGCACTATTCCTCCCACTGATACCAATGATGGGGCACTATTCCTCCCACTGACACCAATGATGGGGCACTATTCCTCCCACTGACACCAATGAGGGACACTATTCCTCCCACTGATACCAATGATGGGGCACTATTCCTCCCACTGATACCAATGATGGGGCACTATTCCTCCCACTGATACCAATGATGGGGCACTATTCCTCCCACTGACACCAATGATGGGGCACTATTCCTCCCACTGATACCAATGAGGGACGCTATTCCTCCCACTGATTTTTTTTTTTTTTTAAGTCCGCAAACGTGCAAACTACAACGAAAAACCCGTAAGTGTTTCACAAAAAAGTGCAAGTGCAAAAACACCACACAAAAAGTGCACTTAGGGGTGTGCTTTGTCCTAGCCCCGAAGGGGTTGGACCACTACCCTGATCTCCCGGGGCACGAAGCTCCTGACGGGGACAAGGTTTCCATTTGGTCCTCCTGGCCAAAAGGCTTGGTGGACCACCGTTCCTTATGTCCAGCCGAAGCCGGACATCCAGTACTTGGTCAGGGGGCTCTCCCAAAGAGAAAACCCCCTAGGGATCAGGGGAGGAAGGAACCAAAAGGCCACACATCCTCCCCCTAGACTTCAGGGCAGGCCCGAGGACCCACACCCTCCATCCTGTGAAAAACACACACATAAGTAAAAGTAACAAACGTGGGAGTGAATAAATTAAATAAATAATTAAATAAATCTATAAAAATAAAAAAAAGTGGTCGTGCCAAATTGTGCACTGACCAGGCCCTGAGGCCTGTAGCAAAAAAATTGCCCAGGACTTGGCCAAAAGGCCCGGTCCTAGAGGCGCAGTGCAAAAAGTGTTTAAACTCAGTGACCATGTGCTCTTTCGCAATGTGGGGTCCCACACCCAAGTGCTACTCAGAGCACCCCTGAGGCGACCACTCAGGGGGCACTGTGTTTGCGGATTCTCTGCCTTCCCAGCCCCTGGCCAGACAAGGTAGATCCGTCCAAATCAGGAGGTACTGGGTCCTTCCAGTTTTCTCGGGGAATTACTCCCAGGGCCCCAGCTTAATTTGTGGCGCTCCCCGGTTTCTGTCCCCCGGTATTAGCCTTCCAGACCCCCATCATACCAGTGAGGGTACTATACAACAGCCATCCCCGCAAAG